TAAACCCCTAAACCCCTGAACCTGAACATTTTACTTCAGCCCGAGACCTTAAGCTTGAACCGTGGTCCTGCAGGGACTGGAACGAGCTGGCGAAATGCGCGGCGACCGGGTCCTGCTTCAAGTCGTGCTTAGGGTGTGGCTGACAAGCTTAGGCTTTTTGTGGGCCGGTTTTTAGTATTTCCGAAGCACATGTCAAACCCCGGAAGAGCGGTGGGGTGCGCAGGTGTAGTTCAAAGTGTGACGTCTGTTGTGGCTGACAATGGAATCTGGCCTAGGTGGTGCACGAAATTATGGCTTTCGGTTCCTGCATTTGCTGACGGCTCGCAAGGCGTTAGAGACGACCCCACTGCCCTCACGATCAGCACCCGCCACTGTTGGCTGTTGCTGTTGTCGAGCTTTGCTGGTGTGCGTGTGGCTGCCTACAAACATCCTGACTGAAATTGGGCCTTGCTGTGAGTTGTCGCGAAGATGTAAAGCACTTGCGAAAACCCAGGCACAACGCGAGTCTCCGCAAAACTCGAGTCACAACAAGAATACTTATTGACCCGAGAGGAGTACTGTAACAATCGTAAAGGCAGGTGAGACAGTAAGGAAAAATAATGATCTTTGTAAATCACGTTAGACACAGCCATCTTCGTTGACACTATCATCGCCACCGTGAGCACAGCAGCATTGTCATCATCATGCTCTTAGGGGTCAGCTTCATCTTCAACTTCAGAATAGCCATCGCCCATGTGATATGGGAGTTTCCGAAAATAGGGGACCATAATATAGTACCCTAAATAATAGGATCCTTATTATAAGGACCCCAAAATAAGGTACCCCAATTTTCGGAAGCTCCCATATCGAGCATGATCATGACTATCATCCTGACCGTCTGCAGCGACCTTGCACTGACTTAGTCATTTTGCGGGGAGTTCTGCGACTTCTGCAAAAAGTACCCTAAGCCCCTAAGCCCCAAACCCAAAGAAGACCCGATCAGCCCTAAACCCTCAAAGCCTAAACCCTAAACCCTAAACCTTGAACCCTAAATCCTAAACCTTAAACCCTATACCCAGAAGCCCCAAACCCTCAACTCCCAAACCGTGCGAGGTCTCGGGTTCGGCACTCTCCTCGCCTCTGCAGCTTCCACCGTTGCTCCCGAGAGCGACTTGACGGCCGCTGCGAAGGCCTGGTTTTAGGGTTTAGGGTTTAGGGTTTAGGGTTTAGGGTTTAGGGCTTAGGGTTTAGGGTTTAGGGTTTAGGGTTTAGGGTTCAGGCTTGGGGTGCTAGGGTTGAGGGTCTGGAGTTTAGAGCTTAGGGTGCTAGCGTTTTCGGGCTTCAGGCTTCGGTTTAGGGTTTCGGGCTTAGGTTTAGGATTTAGGGCTTAGGGTGCCAGGGTTTAGGGTCTGGGGCCTCGTGTTCAGGGCTTAGGGGACTGGCGTTTAGGTCTCAAGTCTTCGGGTTTAGGGTTTCGGGCTCAGGGTTTAGGGTTTAGGTCTCAGGGTTTAGGTCTTCTAGAGTTTAGGGCTCAGGGTTTAGAGCTCAGGGTTTCGGGTTTTAGGGCTTAGGGCTCAGGGTTTAGGGTTTTCGGGCGTAGGGTAGCTCGCCGAGGCTTCGAGTTGATCGGACAGTGCTTCGTGGCTGTGGGTCTTTGCTCTGGTCGGGGAGAGCGGTGGATAAACCTGAACCCGACACGCCTAAACCCGAAGCCTGAGACCTAAACCCTAAACCCTAAACCCTGTAAACCCTAAGCCCTAAACCCTAAACCCTGAACCCCAAACCCTAAGCCCTATTTCTGAACCCCACCATGGGCCGTCTTCGGGTGCACTCCATCCATCAGGGCCGAAATCCTGAGACCCGAACCCTTGAACCCTCAATTCGCCGTTTGGATTCAATACGGTGAGCATGGGTTATGAGTCATGAGCGTAGGCTAAACCCTAAACCCTAAACCCTAAACCCCAAACCCTAATAGGGGCCCGAAGAATCTGGCGACTTCTGCGACTCTAGGCTCTACCTACCGCTCTTGAGCTAAGATTAGACATCAGGCTGCATGGGTGCAACGAAGATGCCAGCGCCAGCTGAAGGGACGGGAAATCTATACTTTGCTGAAGATCTACCACGCTACTTCGGAGCAGTCCTGCGAACTCAACCGGCTGCTCCCCCCCAAAAAAAAAACAGAACTCGAAGCCCGAAAGCCTTGAATCCCTGAACCCCAAACCATAGGGTTTAGGGTTTGGGGCCATGAACACCCAAAACCGAACTCCACAGGGTTTAGGGTTTAGGGTTTAGGGCCATGAACCCCCAAAACCGAACTCGAAACACTGAACCCAATGGCCTTCTCTTGCATCCCCTTGTCCGTGGGGAACTTCTCCTTGAAGGACGCGGCTGCCTGCGAGCTCTAGGATTTGACTCTGAGCGCATCGGGTCCATGGTGGGAGGGGGCATAAAAACTGTACGGGCCTAAATAATTACCAAAACTATTTTTTTTTTTTGGGGGGGGGGGGATCCTTATTATAATTATAGTATAATGGGCCCCAAAACCCTATTCTAATTATCAAGGCCCCCATATTATGTTAAAACGCTTTGTTCTGCCGAATCAAGGCGACCCTTGTGGGCACGGAGCTTAGGCCCCTAAACCCTAAACCCTAAACCCTAAACCCTAAACCCTAAACCCTGGCTTAGGCTTTGGAGCTCGGGGCTCAAGCTTCGACGTTGCAGGACACGGGACCTTACGTGCTTCCCTCAAAGCCCTCCTAAACTCCCAAAAGGGAGCCCTATAGACTCCTTTCAAGAAAGCCTAGAACCCAAACCCTAAGCCCTAAACCCTAAACCCTAAACCCTCAACCCCTAAACAGCCCCAAACCCCTCAACGTGTGAGGTTGCTGCGAAGCCGTGCTGATCGACAGTTTCCAGCTCTGAGCCCTCAAATGACATGCACCTCTGCTCTTACCCCTCTCCTTCTCCAGTTTGCCAGGGAGACATACTCTTCACCTAAACCCTACTTAGAGTTGATTTGTCTCTTCGGGGTTGAAAGCATGGTACAGGGGGGAAGAGTTCGATGAGAAAGTTTGTGACTGGGACCTACATGGGTGGTTGTCAAAATTATGGCCCCTTTTTGGGTCCTTATAATAATACGGCACCTATTATTTAGGGTACCCCAAAAAGGGACCCTAATTTTGACAACCACCCACATGTCTTCTTGTACTGCGGCTATTGGAAGCCCTCAGGCCTACATCTGGGTGCCTGGTGCATCCTTCCACTCGAGCCGATAGTGGAGAAGCGTGCTGACTTGAGTAGAGCATCGAGGATTCTGACGGAGTGCTACCATGGGGTCCTAAAAATTGAAGTAAGGTTTTGGGGGTGTAGTAGTATAATCAGGAACCGCCAAAATAGTATTGGCAAGTATGTAGAACCCTATACTACCTGCCGCTGTGGAGGTCCTAGTATTTAAGGGTCATAGCTTCACGTGTGAGCGCAATGCCGCGCTTCAGGGTTTAGGCTTACACGGCCTGTAGGCCCTAATCCCCACGGCTAGAGGCTGAAACTTTGGGGCTTAAGGCTTCTTGTTTAGGGTTTAGGGGTCAGGGTTTGTGTCGAGTGCATCGCACTGTGGATGAGCTGTCAAAGCCTGTCTAGAAGGCTTTTCCTTCTTTCTCTCCCACCCCACGGCTCGGGGCAGTGCAGGGCGCAGGGCAAGGCAAGCGGCAGGTGCAGGTGTGGGTGGGTCCCATGTTGGGGTGGTCCATGGGCGGCCTCTGCCCTGAGTTGGGGGTTTAGGGTTTCGGCTGAGGGTTTCGCACGAAGTATCAGGCGCACCCTGAAAGCAGCACTTAAACTGCTCGGGTCCGTGAAACCCTACCACCGCGAAGCCTGGACCGTAAATGAATTGAGCCTGAGATCTTCAGCTTAAACCCTAATGCTCCCTAATGCTCAACAACGACAGCTGCCAAATGCTGCGAAACTTGCGAATCCTCCTTCCGGGGCCTTACTTGCCCAGATAAACAAGGCCGAATAGTGCAGGATAGCACAAGGCAAACCTATGAAGAAAGGCGCCTCCTTCGAACAACTCGCGACACCCAATCTCACTGACGTGCCTCACGGACGACCAGATCCTGCATGGCAGAGCCCATACCAGCCTGCCAGAAGAAGGCTCGGAGCACACGGGGCTCTGAGGCATCAGAGTGTAGGGCCTAGACTCTCCAAAGACCGAAGTACTCGAGCCGACCATGACCCCAGGATGCCAAATCAAAAGACAGCCCCCGGATCAACGGAGTTTGGGCTCCGAGGCGCTGGGCACCTCACGACGAAATAAGAGCAACCAGCCCGCCAGAAAGATGAAAGATGCAAAGAAACAGCAATAATATCATGATGATGGGCTTTGGGCTGGCCGTTTTTGTGGTTTAGGGTATGAAGGGTTTAGGGCCTAGTGTACCACCACCTCCACACGCCGCTGGCAACAAAACCAGCAACCAGGATCCCAAAGCCAACGAGATGCAAGCAAAAGGCAAAGAAACCCGATGGTTCAGGGTTTCGGAGATCCAACAAGCTGCAACACCAACAGACAACCACCAATACTGCAAAAAGAGTCCGATCTTCAACAACCTATACACAACCGTCGACGACATACCACCAACACCAGCTCCGGAATACCCGACAAGCGAAAACAAATAACCAGACACCAACAATCGGCAACCAACATGTCAGAGAGAATGCCATGTACAACAAAAAGGTAACAGCCGACTAAACCAACCACCCATGAGTCCATGAGGACAGCGACCTGCCTCGAAAGCGGCAATGGCCTGCAACTGCTTCTGGGCCCTCTCTGACAGGTCATCCTGACAGCCAGCCAGGCCCCGTGCCATGTCGGAGAAGATCGATGTTTGAGGGTTTAGGTTTGGGGGCTTTGGGGACAAAGCGGCAGGGTGCGCAGAACTCCTACCAACCCTCACTTGGGATTTCGAAAAGTCTGCTTAGCTTTGCATAAACTGTGGCACAAGAGTCTGAATACCTACTCCTGTTTCGGGGCTTCAGCGCGTCCACAAGCTCCCAGCAATCTCGGTGGCTCCACAGGCATACATGCAAAGCCAAAGGCCCCTAATTCGACATCTTCCCATGCAAAACCCCATGAGCCCTGGCAGCCCGAATCCGCTCCTAGGGTTCATGAGAGCTTGGGGTTTAGTTTGGGGGCAACCCAAAGAACCTAAACTCCCGGAGACCCAGCCTTCCCCACACGCTGACTAAAAGCTGCCATAACATGACATTCAACGAAAGGGCAGCCCCTTAACACTAGACCCGAAACCCCTTCTGCCGGCTTGTAAAGTCGTAAAACTGTTCAGGATGAGTCTCTGGGGGCCGCAAGTAGACTTAGTACAAACAAGCTCTATTCTAAACAGATACCTTAGCACAAGCTGTTGAGACTCATTAGCAAAAGCACTACCTTTTTCAGACTCAGAGTTAAGTGGGGTTGAAATTGTCAGGTTCAAAAAGTAATTCAGCATGACACAACTTTTCAGGCTTTATTTAGGGCTCAGGACTACGATGGACTACGTTAAAGCCCAGTTAACGCCCAGCTGCCTTCATCTTCAAAACCAGTGCCTCGGGCGTCAGCATGACGTGTCCGACAAGACTCCGGGATGCAGGCGTAATACAGGGGTTTAGGGTTTAGGGGTTTAGGGGTTTGGGGTTTAGGGCCTGGAGTTTCGGGTTTAGGGGTTTGGGGTTTACGGTTTGGGGGTTTAGGGGTGCACCCACTTATCGCGTACTTGCAACCACCCCCAACTACTTTCAATTAGGGTTTAAGGTTCACTGTCGGAACCTGATTTAAAGGAGGCTTTCTTGCTCTCGGCTCGCCACATAAAACTTGACAGCAGACCACAAATGAGATGGATTGGTGTCAGGTTGTGGGTCTGCGCGGCCCCGCCCGTTGCACCGTTGCATCCTGTAAGGTTGTGTCCGACTCAACAGCGCTAATCCTAGAGAACCTCCCAAACCACAATTTCGGAAAAAAACTGGAAGAATACATACAGGAATTGCAGGTTTGCAAGGAGTACGGGAAGAATAGGGAGGATCAGGGAGAAATAAAAAACAGGAGAAACAAGTGACATAGAGAAACTAGGGGAACAATTAAAAATAAAATAGGAAAAAAATAAGGAAATTTGGAAATAAAATAAGGAAGAGCGGGCCGAGTTTCTAACTTCTCCTATTTTAGGACTCCTGTTTTTTCCTATATGTATTCTATTTTTGGCCATTTGCTATCTGACTAGAACTGGTTTGCACAAGAGTCGGAGTGGCACGCACAGGCAGGCCAAAGCTTAATGCGGCAGGGTTTGTAGCCTGCCTTTGCTGTGCCTGTGGTAGCCGTCTCATGTTTTTTGTGGTGAGGCTTGTCGCGGCGGTCGCGGTGCGGTTGTCGCGGACACTGATAAACAACCCAACCGGCATTGATGTAAACCCGAGTCGAAGACATGCACCCAGGTTTGACACACGCTATCCATGCAGTTCTCTCAGATGGCACGCGCAGTCCCAGTTTTCGAAACTTTGACGGCCTCCACTGCCGTCTTGATCTTTCTGCCGACATCGCGTGCAAAAAGCACGCGGCCTTGTAGCCATGGCCAGAATCCCGCTCTTTCCTAGAAAAACCGGGATTTTGGCACGGCGAACAGCAAGGCGGACTTGCTGTTCTCCAGTGCCTGGGCCAGGAGCAGGGCCCCGAAGCCGTGGCGCTTGACCGTGGCCATTCGGTCAATGTAGACACCACCGGCTGGTAGGGGTGCCATCTGCAGACCCCGCAGACCCCAAAACCCCGTAGACCGGTACCCTCCGTCACCGTTCTGACGAGATGCTGCCAGGTGCTGTTTCCTGAACCATGAGGTCGAGCAGCTGAAAATCCAATATCTGCATCCGCATCCCAACATTGCTGGCTAAGCCATTGCTTCCGGCAGCACGGCTGCTTTCTGCAGCATACCCGTCGAAGATGGCAGGATAGATCTCAGACGTTTGAACGCCTGCCTCCACAAAGGACGGCGTGCCTCCACAAAGGACGGCGCCAGTTGCCCTTCTTGCTCCTATGCCGAAAGCTCCATGATATAGGCTCGGAATGAGGAACTGGATCTGTACAGGGAACTCGCCGTCTGCGTAGATGCTCGGTGGAATGATTAAGGCCGCAGGTGGCCCTTTTTGGCACCGCGCATGGCCAAAGCACACATAAGAGAACCCTGAACCCTAAACCCTAAATAAGAGCAACAATCAAGCGGGACATCCACTAGGGTCGGAGCCTCGAGCGCCCACACAAATGTTCAGCGGCGCTCTCTCGGCAGTTTAGGGGTTTAGGGTTTAGGAGTTTTGGGGGTTTAGGGGTTTGGGGGTTTAGGGTTTAGGGGTTTAGGGTTTAGGGGTTTTGGGGGGGTGGGGGTTTAGGATTTGGGGGCCTAGGGGCCTGGGGGTTTCTGCATCCTTCGGGGTTTTGCGGCTTCCGAGTTCAAGGCCCCGAGGCAAAGCCGAAATCACCGGAACCTCCCCGGCTATCACCGGCTGAGACCTCATGAATCTGATTCCTGAAACCTGCTGGCGCTTTACTGGGCTTTTGCAAAAAAACAACTTGCTTCAAGCGACCATCAAAGGAAAACCCTACATTCTACATTGTGCTTTAGATTCCTAATTCGCAAACTTAAATTAAGCTCCTTAACAAGAACCCCGCAAACCCCATCACTCCGGCCTTCCGGTACTTGGCGATCTTTTCCTCGGAGTCCTCCTGTTTTAGGCTTTAGGGTTTAGGCTTTCGGTGTGAAGGGTTTAAAGCTTTAGGGTTCAGGGCTGCCAAAGACAAAGCGGCAATTGGTGGCCTTGGGAAGAGGATGACACGACAAAGCGCCTTTGATTTCTCGCCACTTTGGGCCGAGGGGCAAGACGAGGGCTGGTATCTGGGCTCGGGATTCGCGGTCGTCCACAAGTCTAGGACCCAAACCCAAATGCAGAAGCGAAGCTGTGAACCAGGATCCTATTGCAAGCACCCGCACTCGATGCCCCACACACTGCGACACCCGCAAGCCCAACTCGGAATGCTTTCAGATCTTTCAGTCAGAGACATTATGAATACTAGTCTGCTGTACTAGGCTAGACTCTGCTATCCTATCCAACACTATACTATCCCATACTCTGCTCTACTCTACTCTACTATACTATAATGCTATGCTAATATAGCACTGCAATACTCTACTACCCGACTTAAAATATGGCTCGCACTAAGCTTCCATGTGCTTCTGCCGAAGGCCACCACACCAAGGATGATCTACAAGCCAAGCCAAGGATTCGATGCCCCAAGCTTTGGGCCCATCCATATATATATATATATA